ATTAGTTATGTTGTACTTATCATATACCGGGCACTGTTTTAAATGCTTTATAAATATTAACCCACTGACTCTTCTTAACAACCCTTGGGTGCTATGTTCTGCTTGATCTCTACTTACAGACAAGGAACCCCAGGCACAGAGAGGCTGTGTAACTTGTCCAGACATGTACAACAGTGTGCAGCAAGGCCAGGAGTCAAGCCTGGGGGTCCCTCTCTAGTCTGTGTTCTTAGCCCCTGGGCTACTAGACGTCATCAACCCAGGTGTGCAGTGAGGGCACCAGGCCCAGGGAGGGTAAGGGACTCGCCTGAGGCCACGCAGCCAGTGGCCAGAGGCTCCTCCCTCCCTGGTTGGTTTCTACCTCCTCGTGTTGGAGCCCCAGGCCTCAGATCTCGAAGGTTCCTCTTCTTTGGAAGCCCAGGCGAGCCCTTTCCCCACACATACAGAGCCTGTTTGGGCCTCTACTCCCTTCCCTTGGTGATAGTCATGCCCGTGGGTGCCTGCGGGCAAAGGGGAGCTAAAGTTGTGGTTTCTGGGTGTGTTTCAGGAGTGCTAGGTGATGGGTCAGTCTTTGCGTGCAGGGGAGGAGCTGCGTAAGGTGGGGCAGAGGACCCAGGATGTGCCCCAGCCGCGGGGAGGGGTGTGTGGGGCGAGGGGGGTGGCTGTGGGGAGGGGACACAGAAGGGCTGGGGGCTGGTCCAGCACAGAGACCTGGCCCTCTGCCTCTGTGTTGCTCAAACTGCTCTGTTCTCCTAGAGCAGGCCTAGAAGGGCTGGGCCTGGGGTGCCCAGGGCACAGGCCTGTTGGCATTGTTTATATGTGAGAAGTTTTTCATTTTTTATTTCCTTGGGTAATTTTAATGTACAAAGTTGAAGACCCATTCATAGCCTTAGACCAAAACATAAATACTAATACATGACGTTTCCCAATCATAGTCCAAAATTATAGGGAATTTTATATGATAGAAAATTAGCAAAGTGATGGCACATGATTGAGGCAAAGATGAGTCATGTGGTATTGTGGTTAGGTTTTCTGCCAGTATTTTGGAGACTGGGAATGTTAAATCCATCAAGAAAATCAACACTAGATAATCCTAATAAAAAACACTACCACCACCCATGATGAACAAACATACTGGTTTGGTTATTTTATGAGTACTGTTACTCATAGGAACATGTTATCTGATGACTCCACTTCTCCCCTCAAAAAAGCTTTTTGTTAATTGTAAAAGTTTTGAAATAGAATCAAATTCTAAACTCTAAGGAATCACAATTTTTACTTTAAAACTGATAGTATCGACTGGGGCGCCGTGGCTCATGCCTGTAATCCTAGCACTCTGGGAGGCCAAGGCGGGTGGATGGTTTGAGCTCAGGAGTTCGAGACCAGCCTGAGCAAGAGCGAGACCCCGTCTCTACTAAAAATAGAAAGAAATTAATCGGACAACTAAAAATATATAGAAAAAATTAGCCGGGCATGGTGGCGCATGCCTGTAGTCCCAGCTACTCGGGAGGCTGAGGCAGAAGGATCGCTTGAGCCCAGGAGTTTGAGGTTGCTGTGAGCTAGGCGGACGCCACGGCACTCTAGCCTGGGCAACAGAGTGAGACTCTGTCTGAAAAAAAAAAAAAAAACAAAACTGATAGTATCTTTAAAACCAGAAAATGTATATGGTAACTAAAATTCCATGAATTACATGTTTCTTCCATTCAGTTATCTATTCCCTGTACTAGCACATTTGAAAAAATAAAATACGGGGCATGTTTTGTGAAAAAATTCAACAGGATTACTTCATTTTGCATGTAGTTGCAAATAAAATGACTTATTAGATCATTGTGAGATATAGCTCTATTTTTCTCATATCTAGAAGCAAATATTTACTAGTCATGGATCCTAGGATACTTGTCCCTTCCCTACAATCCCTGAAGCACTTACTATATTTGCCGTTCCTCCTGCTACATAATCCTGTATTCACTGCATTTTGTAGTGTGATGTTAGTATGAATAAATGATAATCTACTATTATACACAAATCTCCTATTCATCAATTTCAACCTCCTCCTAAATCTAAGAGCTAAGAAATTAAAAAAATATATTCCACCTTTCCCTCTTTATGCCCTAAAGAATGCTTTGAACAATTAAAACCATACACAAACTAGGAATAATCCACCACTTGGATAAATAACTCCTAGATAATCAAAACGCAGATTAACCCAGCAATCTGAAACTTACTAATTACATTTGGGAATACTACATTAATCTTATTCTAATTATTTTAATATTTCTACTGTCAAGGCAATTTGATCCTGAAAGATGGAAATGGACTGAACATTTACTTACCAAATCCCAATACTAGAATTTGAAGTATAAAAGAGATAAAATCTACTTCAATAAAAAGTAATTACCACAAGTGGCACATTCACAAACCTTGCATCACATCAAGCATTTATAAAACCAAAAATAACTAAAATAATTTTCTTAAATCACCACCTCAAGACTAATAAAACAGGAAACTGCTCAATGATTTTCCTCAAATTATCATCTTTTTTGAGAAGCAGTAGAGTAAAATGATAAAGAACTGCAGATTTGAAGCCAGACTTCCTGGGTTCAAATCCTGGCTCTTCCACTTACTTGCTATGTGATCATGGGCAAGTTATGCATGCCTGGGCTTCAGGTTTCCTCTTCCGTAAAATGGCACTAGTACCAGTATGACACTTGCCTTACTTGCCTCGTAGGACTATTGTGAAGAATGTAGTAAATCACT